AACGCGCCGGTGCGGTGTGTTGACGCACCAAGCCTGCGGCAGCGGTGCGCCAACGACTGGAAATTAACTGTGTTACCCAGGCCTAGTTAGAACAATCGGTGATTTTTATTTTTTTTTTCAGCGGGCATCTTCAAAGTGTGTCGCCTAAGCCTGGGTAACACTGTGTTGAGTTGAGTTTTGAGTTGTTGCCGCTCTCTGAGTTAACGAGTTGTAACTCATCGGTTAATGAGTTATAAGGAATGTATTAAAGCGGATTAACGGTTTACGAGACCCGAGACTGGAATTTTAACATCTAAGAAAAGGTGATCAACATTTTTTGCATAAAAGGCTCAATTTGCCTGTATTTTACAGTAAAACGTTAGGGAACAAGCGGTTTTTTTGTTTAGAGGCAGTGTTGTTTAGAAATATTGTCCTAAAAGTTAAAAAACCCCAGTTGGCAACAGTTTTCCAAATAAATTATTATAAACTTTCGCTTTGTCAGTTCGGGGAAATCTTTTTTATAAAAATTATTAGCGTTTTGTCGAAAATTCAAAGCTGCACAAAGTTTTCCAAAAATTTTTGAAAAGCGGTTAAAGAGGCCAGGGTGACAATAAAATGTATCTTGTAATTTTTCACAGAAAGTACCTGAATATTTTCGGTATTTGCAAGTAAAACAAAAAAATATGAGTTTTTCACGATATTCTTAATAACTTTGAGTGAAAAACTAAATAAAATTATTTGGTTTTCTTGCCAAATTCGAAGCTGAAATGGGTTTTCCAAAGTTCCGTGCAAAACGATGAATAAGGCTAATTTTAAAATGTTTGTCTGAAAAGACCCCATTATTGTCAGAAAGAGAAACTAATCGGCAAATAATGTTTTTTTTGCGTTTTCGCACTACGATGATAATCGGTTCTTAAGAAAATTTTCGAGGAAAACGGGAGAAATTTATTTTAGTTTTTGTCTCGATTTGATTCGAATTCGATGCTGAAAAAAGTTGAAATTTCTACAAAGCTATAAATTTATCTTTCGATTTTTCGCGCAAAAGACCTTCAGATCGTCAGCATTTTTAAGTGAAACTCTACAAAAGAGAGCAAGCTCTACAGTCCTCATATGAATGGAGGTGAGAGTTTTCAAAATAATTTATTAGAAACTTTCGCTTATATTGTGTGTTTTTTGATAGAAAATTATTTGATTTTTGTCCAAATTCGAAGCTGGAAACGGATTTCGAAACCTTTTACAAAGCGACGAAGGAGCCAAGGGTTTTAATAAAATTTAATTCATAATTTGTCCCGAAACATACCTCAAGATTGTCAGAAAATTCTGAAATTTCGAAGATTCTTTAAAAATATCATTAATAAATGAACCTTAAAATAAATCTAAAAACAACTAAAAAACAAAGATCATCAACGTTTTCCCAGCAACTGAACTGAGTTACTGCGTCGGCACGTTGGGTTGGCGCAYGAWGCAAACACACCGCGATCTAATAWCCCAAAAATAATTGATTGTACARATACTCAAAAATCATTACCGCTATTGCACGCATTTTAAGCTGAGTTCACTTTGGCCCAGCACCTCTGAAGATGCTTGCCATACGTGCCAGCGAAACGCCAGTCGACAGTCGACTAACTCAAAATCTTGGATTGTGCAAACGCTTTTGAACGTAACAATTACAAATTTATTGCAAGCTCTAAGTGAGCAATTTGTAAAAGTGTRGCAATTTTCCGGTAATTTTTCGACGTTTAAACTGTGTTGTGCGTGCTGTAGGTGATCACCAGAAACAGTCTACCGTAACCAGGAAAATGCGGAACGCAAAATTATATATTTTATCGTGGTAAATGCGCTTCTATTTTTCATGTTATCCGATTCGCATTCAACAATTATTTATTTTCCCGAAGCGCCGGGCCATTTCACCAGCTCGAATGAAAATTGATCAAAATTACGCACATTTAATTCGAGTGTTTCCATCAATTAAGCGTCGTTGAGTTTTTAATTTCCTGCCTTTTACGATACACGACCTTTTCAGCGCTGTTAATAATTATTCAGAACTGAAATGCTGTTTGCTCACATTTGGATTGACTGAAAAATGATTCGAATATGCTACCATTAAGCAATAATAAGGGTTTCATCATGTGCTTTGAGTAGAATGGAGTTCCGAATGGATAAGCAGTGTGTGATTAATTGTTCAGTTTCAGCTTCTTTGTCCTTATAGGGTCCATTTCAAGTACCCGATAAAAACTTATGACTGGAAATGGAAGCAGAAGGGCAAACATCGCGTCTGGTTATTCTCTTTATCTAGCGGAAAGGAATCGGAAGGAAAACAATTAGATTTTTTCCATTGACTTTGTATTTGAAAAAACACCGAAATCAATTTTTTTACATCAAATACCGTACCAGTGTTGGGCCAAAATTGATTTTTATTAAAAAAATCAAAAATCACTGATTTATTTAAATCAATCAAAAAAATCATTATTTTTTGGATTTTTAWTAAATCARTTGATAAATCTGCTTAATTAGCTGTGTTAGTCATTTCAATTGTTGCCGAGAAGATTCAAGCTAAGTTGAACCAATTCAATACTTGTCCGAACGCATTTTCGACGGAAAATTCTTGTCGCACGTTGCCCGGCGTTATCTATAAATGCCGTCGTCTTTCTTCGGTCTTATTCATTTCGTCACAAAATTTCAAGAGAGGCTAATGTTGAAAAGTGTGTAGATTTTTTGTCTTTGTGTAATAATAGTAAGTCAGTTTGAAAAGAACGCAATGGCTGGAAGGAAAGAAGACAGTATTTGGCAGTTTTACATCAAAACCACCTCTTCTAATAAGTCAGGATGCATATCAACTTGCAAACAGTGTAAGAAAGAGATTCAAGGCATACTACAAAGACTGAAGACAACAAAACAAACAAGACACAACAACAAATGCAAACATCGATCTTCCGCCCAACTTTTTTGAGACTGGGAGTGCTTCTTCCTCCTTTACATTTCCCTCACAAGCTCCAACTCACCTCCAGAATCTCCATCATTTTACACGCAAACAAAAGCCTGAAAAGCCTCATACTTCGACACACCTTACTGATCTGGTGGGCGATTTAATTTCCTCGTGTCAAACAAAATTTCAGTATAAAGTGCGATCTTTTGCAACGGACAATGCCGCAATGAGGAAAACGTTAGAAGAACAGACGAACTCTGAAGTTATAACTTATGGTTGCTCTTCGCATTTACTAAATCTGCTTTGTAAGGACTTACAGGTGCAAGATATCAACGAACACATAGTCCAAA